TTTTTTTATTAAAAAATATATATCATGCCATCAAGCTATCACACCCTCATGCTACTCACGACTAAACAGCACCACCCAAGAAAATGTGTTTGTACCTATCTTTCCTAGAGATAAGAGCAGCACCAAATGTCTATGGAACTATCCTCCACACTTCAGTTTTCCAGCCTTCATTCATCACTTTTTCCAAGCCAAATGAAGATATTTGGCATAATGAGTTTACAAGCTTACAGCCAACTTATCAGAAATAAGGCTAAGAAAATGTTCTTCAAAGAAAGAACCCAAGGATACAAGCGAAAGAGATTATAAATATACTGATCCTCCTCCTGACAAAAATTATGGTATCCAAAAAGACTAAAGTTCAAAAAAAAAAAAAAAAAAAAAAAAAAAAAGCTTTTGCCTTCAAGAGAAGCTTTCATCTTCCATAAATCATAAGCAGAGAGGCTCCATAATTTTTCTCAGGAAAGTTACAGAATTCTTGAAAAGAAACAAATCCCTCTTATCATGCCGCCAAAACATAACGTCATTTTGCCAAAGAAAAATCTAAAAAAATTCTTCATAAGCTTAAGACTAGTTATCTTTCTAAAAATTCTAACCATTAGGAATTTAGGATGTCTAGGAAAAGAAATAATTGAATGCTTGTTTTAACATCCAACACTAACACCACTTCAACTGCAGCCACCTTATGGGAATTCATAATGAATCTAAGCTGAACCTCACACTAGGGTAATGCTACACCAAAAACCTTGAACCGTTATTACCAATTGAGGACTTGAAAACACCCTACCTTCATAACATTACGATGGAAATTAATATGCCTGCACCATGAGAGGAAGAGAGGCTCCATCAGACCACTACCCAAGACCTCATTACATTATATATGAACCCGATGACATCCTAGCAGAATAGCTCACATTCAGTTACTAATTGAGGACTTGAACACCCTACCTTCATAACATCAAATGGAAATTAATACGCCTACACCATGAGAGGAAGAGCGGCTCCATCAGACCACTACCCAAGACTTCATTACATTATATATGAACTTGATGACATCCTAGCAGAATAGCTCACATTCATTTGCAAACCTCCAAATCACTTTTGCCTTAATAGTACTAAGACCTCAAACGAATTGAGCTGACACTTTCCCACTTAAATTCATGAAAGATTGGTCAGACTAGTTATTTACTAACCCATAGTACATATAGTTCAATTTGTTTTAGCTATGAAATCACAGTAGCCAAAAAAAAATCCAGAAGTGTTCGTGGACACAAACAAAAGGCTCTTCTTACAGACTCCTTGAGAACGACAAGATTTTTATGCTAGTAAATGCCCAGAGCTTCATGTTAGACTAAGGAATCATATGACAAAGTACACTGAGACCCTAAGGGAGCATTTGATACAAAAATTGGAAACGGAATGGAAAGGAAACATTTTTTTTTTGGGTTGGGGGGGGGGGGGTGGTTTAACCATGTAAAGGAATCACTTAACTTCTTCTCTTCTTGTTTGAGGAGGGTAATGGTAATTGATACCTTAGGTTTTAGAGAGATAACAATTAGGTAACCTCTTTAACCAAACACACGGTAACAATAATGGTTTATTGATCTGTTTCCACCAAAACAATACCCTTACCAAACATGCTCTAAAAGGATGTCTAATTCCAGTAAAACCAGTGCTTCTTGGCTCACCGGAGCCAAGGAAAATCCACAAAGAAAAGGATATCAAACTACAAGTCTACAACCTTGAACTAGAAGTATGCATAACAACTATCAAACTCCATCACTACTTAGTCTCCATTGCTTTCTTGTTGTCCGCCTGAAGATATGAATATTTCCTTCTTTTTGTTGGGTTTCAATAGATAATTTTTTATTAAACAAAAGTTTCAATAGATGATTTGATCACAGGAAAGTGACCTCTTATCTCAGCCCCCCTTAACCAAAAGACAACGATACAAATCAAGCCATGTTCAAACTTACATACCAATTGCTAAGACCTCTAACCTTTAATCCATGATTCTCAACAATATTATCTAGATGTAGCATGTAGGAAGTCTAGAAACTGCAATATACTTCATTAAATTAAAGAAGAGTTCCTGTGCATCACTTAAAGATGATTTATTTGAATGATGCAATCATATTCCCAACTGGCAACACTTTAGCTCCAGCTTAACAAGTGATCATTAGCAAAGCCAAACACATACTACAGCCTGCAGTTGGGTTTTGAACTTTTGAATGTACACTTTGATAAACGATCATGAACACAATTTTATAAGGATTGAAGACTTCCTATGTTTGGAGTTCACTAAGTATCATACATAAAGAACTACATGAACTACATGAATATCAATAAATTTAAGGAGTGAAGGGAAAGTACCTCAACGAACTTCTGATCTTTCGTTTTGGTGTTGAATCATCCTTGGAGAAATACCACTGAGCAATAGTTCCACTAACCACATAAGCCTTAGTTTCCAACATCACAGTCGCTGACCACAACATAGTCAATATAGCCAATGCATAATAAGCTCCCACCCAACTATCCTGCTTCCAAGCACAATGATAGTCTCCCTTGGATTCACGAGGCACAATCTTCCCATTATACCTCGCGAACACCAAGAACACGACAATTGGCACATAATAAGCTAGCAACCCAAGTTTCAAACATGGAACAACACCAAACAATCCCAAATTCCTCGAAAGCGCATCAGATGCAATACCAATTATGTTAATAGTCAACTCGATTCGATGCCAATTGATCACGAAAATCCACACAATAACCCCAATCACCAAAAAGACAAACAACAACACCAGTATCCTATATGCAAGAGGCAATGCATCACTACAAGAGGAGCTAATAGTGCAAGCAACAAACCAGTACACATTTACACCAATAGGAATCACAATAAAGAAAGGAAGTGAAACATAAACAAGCTGCTTAGTGTAATGCTTAAGCAGCAACAACACACCCCATACAATTGGTAAACTCAATACAAAAGTAATCACAAGTACCCAAATCAATCCTCTTACAAAACTACTACTATTAGAATACCTAAAATTAGAAAGCCCATCAAAATTAGAAAACCCATAAAATTTGGGGAAAGACCCATGATTAGAAATGGGGGTTTTGACACAAGATGATGAAGTGGGGTCATAGGAGAAGGAAGAGAGTGAAGAAAAATTAGAATTATGATGGACAATTGAGAAAATACCAAACCCAAAAGTGCAAATTGCGAAGAGAAGAAAGAGGATCAGGAAAGGTAAGTCTTTGAAAGTTCTAGGACCATAATTGTAGGCGATTTGAAGGAATTGGGTACGATCGGAATCAGATTGAGGTGAAGCTTGTTGTTGTTGAGGGTGATATTCTTCAATTGGAGATGAAAGGTAGGGTTTTGAGAGAAGGGGTTGAGTTGGGGAAGATGGGGTGTCATAAAGATTGGAGCTTTTGCTGGGTTCTTCACTGGAAGCCATTGTTGGAGACTGAAAAAGGGGAAATTAGGTTGAATAAGAAGAAGAAAAGTTGGTGGAAAATGATGAGAGATGAGAAGGGGAGAACATTTCGGGGGGGTGGTGGGGGGGTTTGACTAAATTGAGGAAGCTGAGACAAGAAAGAAAGAAGAGCAGGGGTGGGACTTTTCAAACCGAACCGTGAAACCGCCCGTTACCGAACCGAACCATCACGGACCGATCCGTTTATAAACCGATAAATGTAAACCGAAAACCGAACTGAACCGTTCAATATCAAACCGAAACCGAATTGAACCGCTCAATGTCAACCCGTTACGGACCGTAAACCGATAACAAACCAAACTGCGCAAATCCGAACCGAAACGAAACCGAACCGAATGGTTTATAAACCCGTTAATGACCCGAACCGTTTATAAACCGAAACCGTTTAAACCGAAAAAAAAAACCGTTTAAACCGAACCATTTGTAACCCGCTAACCGTTTAAACCGACCCGTTTATGAACCGAAACCGTTTAAACCGCACGTATAAACCGAACCGTTATAATCCGCTAACCGTCTAAACAGAACTGCCATAACCCGTTAAACCGTTAAAATCGAACTGTTTTCGAATCGCAACCTGTTTAAACTTATCCAATTACAAACTGCTTAATTCAAATTGAATTATTTACAACCTAAATGGCTAAATAGTAAATACAATTAAATAATTAATGTTAATAAATGTAGATCTAATCAAACGGCTTAGGTTTATACAAAGGTTTATATCACCTAGATCTAGGCCAACGACATTATTAATATCGTTTTAGATTACTTATTTATTTTAATTACAAGATATATCATTTATATCTTTTCATTCCAGTAATAAAGTCCACCCAAATTATCTTCATTGTTCCTTGATATTCATGATCATCCAATAAGATAACATAAGATTGGAGATAAATAACATTAAAATTAGAGTAATATCAACAAGCAATTAAAAAAAGTCACCATTTTCATTGATTAAAATTCACAATACATATACCAATACATAATGAAACTACTATCACTACTACCCAGATTAGATTTCAGATTTACCAACTGAAACATCATCAAGTTTAGGGTTGCAAAAAATGATACATGATAAGATGAAGGGAGGAGTGAGAATGTGAGTGATTTGGGAGCAGAATCTTGAAGCAGAATCTTGAAGCAGCAGCCCAGCACCCAAGAGCAGAGGAAATAGCAGCAACAAGCAGGAACCAGCACACGCAATAACAGATCAACAACTTATCCGAAGCAAGGAATAATATAAGCAGAAGGGACTCAACAGGAACTTATTTTTGTTTTTCAAAATTGCTCTCAGATTTACGTTTCTCGTATCATCACTGAGCAATGGCTGTTTTAACTTAAAACTTGAAAAATGCTGCCAGCAAGTACATATACATTGAAGTCTCAACATAAATGACAAGGGCAGCGATGATTCAAGAAAAATTAAAACAGCAAGCATAAGAAACAGCAGCAACAAAACTTATCATAAATTCATAACACAAAAGGCAGCAACACAGCACCTCAAGCTGGCAGGAGGCAGGAACCAGCTCATGCAGGCAACAATATAGGCAATAACAACTCAGCAGAGACAACAACCAAAAGGCAAAAGCACTACCAGCAGGCAGCAGCTCATAACAAGTTCAAGCAACTTCAAAATTATAGCTTTTGTTTTTTTTAAAATTTCTCTCAGATTTACAAGTTGAAGTACCCGCTTTACCAGGTGCTTTATATTCTTTGCCACACAAATTACAACGAGCATAATCAACATTTTCATTACCTATCGTCTTTACAAAAAAAGTGTAATGCTTCCATATACCTGCGGTTCTTTGACGTTTATTAACAGAAGGATTGATAGTGCCGGTATTACTAGCATCATCAACCGAGACAGAGGCAGCTTGAGAGCTAACAGTATCAAAATTTGATTGCCTCTCATAGTCAAATTCATCATACTCGCGAGACATGACTGAAACAAAAAAAAAACAACATTTATAACTTATAAGTACCAAATTAAGTGACAGATTCTACTAATAGTGAGCAATTAAGCATGCATTGTCTCATGTGACTGACACTGAAGTCACGACAGTGAATCCTATTCACTCAATACCAAAATTCAACTAAATAGATAGTTCATATTTCAGAATTTTATTTGCACTAGTCAATGTTTCAAAATTCAGAATTATACAACAAACGTGATTACAACATATATCCTAACAGAATATAGAAAGTTATATACGATACAGTCACATATGTGTACATTTTAAGTACTAACTTTAAGCCAATCATATACAATGCTTGTATTCCAACAATATGGGTTAAAAATATAAAGCTAAAATCCCAATAAATAAACAATGCATGTATTCCAACAATAATAATCACATAATCTGAACAACCCATCATCATTACTTTTAAATCGAGCATAATAAACAACAAAACAGCACAAATCTACCATTTTCCCGTAAAAAACAAAAATACAATCAACAACAGATTTTACTCATTTTAGGCATATTTCGACTATATTCAAGCAAGAACAACAACAATAATCAAATACAAAAACAGAAAAACTGTATTAAAAAAAAAAAAAAGGAAAAAGTAATTACCTTTGACAGCTTGAAGGAGATTTGAAGATGGAGAACTACCTGAACTGGAGATCAAAAGAAAAAATCAAGAATGTAGATTATCAGAACTTGAAATAAATTAAAAAACCGAAACGAAAACGAAAAAAATCGAATAAATTAACAAAAAAATTACCTTAGGGTTTGACGGCTTGAAGGAGAGGAAGATTTGAAATCAGAAATCAGAAATCAGAACTTAGATCCAAAACAAAAATGAAACGAAAACAAAAACCCTAAATAAACAAACCGAAACAAAAACGAAAAAAATCAAAACGAAAACAACAAAAATTAACAAAAAAACGAGAATGTAAAGCGAGAAATCAGAAATGTAGATCCAAAACACAAATGAAACGAAAACAAAAACCCTAAATAAACAAACCGGAACAAAAACGAAAAAAATCAAAACGAAAACAACAAAAATTAACAAAAAAACGAGAATGTAAAGCTAGAAATCAGAAATGTAGATCCAAAACACAAATGAAACGAAATTGAGCTTGAGATTCTTGATAATTTCAGAACGAAAGAGTGAGAAACTGAGAAGTTAGAGAGAGAAACTATGACAGATTGTGAGATTGAGAGAGAAACGGCTGAATGAGTGAATGAGAATGGCTGAGAGAGTGAGAGTGGGTTTTTTTTTCTAGGTTTAGGTTTTACTTCAGTTGATCTAACCGTCCATATTCAATCTCAACATCTAAGTTAGATCTAACCGTTCATTTTTTTTTTTTTTTGTAGATTCTAGAATATTCATCTAGATCTAACGGTCTAGATTTTCTTTGTGCTTTTCTAGGTCTTTTTGACCGTTTTTTTTAATTATTTATTATTATTATTATTGTTAGTATAATTATTTGTTAATATTATTATTACTACTAGTTTACTACTACTATTATTATAATATTATTATAATAATAATTATTATTATTACTATTATTATTATTATTATTATTATTATTATTATTATTAGTTTATTACTTATAAGTTATAAATTGTAAGAAACGCAAATGTTTCAAAATTGAAATTGATTCAATACGACATAGTTAATGACTTAATGAGTTAATGGCTTAATGCTCATCAATATGACAATATCTGACATCTGTGAGTCTGTGATTGTATATCAGTATATATAATAAACTATAAAACTAATAATAACTTAATAAGTAATAATACTAATAACTAATAAAGTAATGAAAATCTAACCATTGTTTTTCATGGGCATTCAATCTAACCGTTGTATATTTGACTATTCGTACATTAGTATTGCATAATGCTTTCATCACCACTTTAATTAGTGATTTCGTGATTTCGTCCATTTAACTTATTAAGTTGTTTGAGTTAGTAATCTAAATAAAGTAACAAACTAAATAACGAATCCATTTAATCTCGTGTAAGTTATAATTTATAAGAAATGCAATGTTTGGAAATGGAAATTGATTCAATACGATATTGTTAATGTATATGTAATTATATTATTATGTATATGATGTATATCATATCGTACGAATGTACGGTTGGTATCATTATCATACTATCATAAGTATCATTGTCTCATTGAATTATTGGTATGTACTATAATCGATAAACATATTTAGTTATTTACATATCTGATCATTAAAACTTAAAAGTTTAAAACACTTGTTGATCAATCTAATTGAATACTTGTACATTCTTAATTATCGATTTATCGTATTATAAGTATCAACTCATTAAATCATGGTCATGATTTCGTGATTTCGTCCATTTAACTTTTTAAGTTGTTTGAGTTAGTAATCTAAATAAAGTAACAAACTAAATAACGAATCCATTTAATCTCGTGTAAGTTATAATTTATAAGAAATGCAATGTTTGGAAATGGAAATTGATTCAATACGATATTGTTAATGTATATGTAATTATAGATTAATTATTATGTATATCATATCGTACGAATGTATGGTTGGTATCATTATCATACTATCATAAGTATCATTGCCTCATTGAATTATTGGTATGTACTACAAATCTACAATCGATAAACATATTTACATATCTGATTATTAAAACTTAAAAGTTTAAAACACTTGTTGATCAATCTAATTGAATATTTGTACATTCTAATTATCGATTTATCGTATTATAAGTATCAACTCATTAAATCATGGTCATGACGCGATCTTTAAAACAATCATGAATTCAATTCATGACCCAAACCGCTTATAAACCGAACCGACATGATCCAAACCGTTCATAAACCGAACCAATTGAACTGTGTAAACCCTCTACTAAACCGGCCCATTTAAAACTGAGCCGACATGATTCGCACCGTTTATAAACCGAACCGATATTGATCCGGGTAAATCCGCCCCTAAACCGACCCATTTCAAACCAAACCGGCTTGATCCAAACCGTTTGTAAACCGAACTGACATTGACCCGGGTAAACCCGCCCCTTAAACCGACCCGTATCAAACCGAACCGACATAATCCGAATCGTTTATAAACCGACCCGCTTATGACCCAAACCGAATTTAAACCGCAAAGAAATAAACCGAAACCAAACCGAGCCGTGACTAACCCAAACCGAACCAAACCGACCCGCCAGCTAAACTAAACCGTTTCAATCCGAACCGCTCCAAACCGAAACCGACTCAAACCGAGGTCAAACCGAACTGCCAGACCGAAGTCCCACCCCTAAAGAAGAGTGTATATCGTGGTTGTTTGAGGATGACAACGATGATCGATTACTGCTAAGATTACTCAGATGTGAGAATGTGGAAAGACGACAACTAAACGACCCCGTTATGACTTATTGTGTTCTCGAATGATTGGATACTTTCACGGCCCGTTTTGTAGGTAGTTTTAAAGGGAATATCCTCCATATTGTAACATTATTCATATATGGATTTTTGGTCGAAAAGTACCTACTAAAACTCATATTTTGTGAGAAACTACCTAATTAAAAAAAAAATTGTAAAAAACTAAGTAAAATGTTGTATAAAATACTACATTTGGTCGGATGTCCACCATTGACCCAACTCAAAACACCCCCGAAGCCCCCGCTTTCATCCCAAAACCAACATAACCCACTTAAAACTGCCTTCACCACGCTGAAACCACCCTCCAACACCAAAACCTCCTCCTCTTACCCCAAAAACCACCATCCCGTAGACCGAAACTACCCCACCAACTCGGAATATCCCTCCCAACCACCCTCGAAATAACCTTACTACTTTGAAAACCAACCCTCGCAGTGGTTTCAGGGTGTTTGTAGGTGGGTCAACACTAGAAATTTTTTTCAACAGTAGATATTCGGCTACAGTTAGTATTTTACAACATTTTATCCTTTTTTAGATAGTTTCTTACGACTTTATAAGATAGTTTTGCACAAAATCTTTTATTAGGTAGTTTCTCACAAAATCTGGGTTTTATTAGGTAACTTTCTCACAAAAATTCCTTCATATATCCACTTTATATAGTTTTAATGATTTGCCTCGATTTATACCGGCTTACCCAATTTTACTTTTTGCAATATTCATCCATCACAAATTTTCGTATACGGCCTGTTGCACCGTGCGGCCTGCTATACAAAAGGGGCCCAGCCTTCTTTAAGGCCCAAAAAAAATAACAGACCCTTTTCTATCCCGTTTTCCGTTATTTTCAAACAACCGTTTGATTTGAATTTCGCAAACTAGGCTTTTTAGTTTCCTTCCTCTTTTCCCAAACCGCCATTAATTTTGTCACACTACTAGAAATAGGTCGTTTTCCGACGGAACGGTTCCGACGGACCTAAATTCCGTCGGAAAATTTGAACTTTCCGACAGAATTAGGGTCAGTCAGAAAATTCCGTCGGAAAAGGTACGGTACGACGGAAAATCCGTCGGAATATTTGCGATGGAAATTAATTCCCTCGGAAATATAGGCTTCCGACGGAAAATTCCGTCGGAAAGTTAACTTTCCGGCGGAAATAAAATCCGTCAAAAGTTTCAAAGGGAAAATTCCCTCGGAAATCCCAAATTTTCCGACGGAATTAAATTCCGTCGAATCCGTCGGAATCTTAATTAAAAAAAAACTCTTTAAAACCCTAATACAACTCCCACCCCCTTTCACTTTCCGCCTCTTTCTCTGTCTTTCCCCTTTTTCTTTCTCCTTCCTTATCTCCTTCCTTCTCTTTCCTTCCTTCTATTTCCCGCATCTTCCCCTTCTCCTTCTCTTCCTTCTCTCCTCTTTCTAACCACTGCTCCTTCTCTCCTCTTTCTTCTCGCCTCTTGTTCTTTCCCCTCTTTCTCTTCCTGTTTCCACCACCGTGACGAACACCGCAACAGCAACAATAAGAACCGCCAACAGCATCGACAACGGCGTTAAGAAAAGTGGCGCAACAACACGGTTACCACCACCACTGCGCAACCTTGTTTTGATTATTTTAAAGGTTTTTTAGGCCAAATTTGACCATTAAAAGCCTAGATCTAGACTTTACATGGCCGAATTTGACCTTGTTAAACCGTTTTCGTGGTGAAATTCGAACCCATTTCAATTAATAAGGTATGTTTTATTACTTAATTTTTCGATTTTCTGGTTTTTTTTCTTTGTTTTTTTTTAAATTTTTGGGTGTAAAGTTGTTGTGTGTACGTGTGTGATGTGTGGGCTGGTGGTGGGTGGCGATTTTTGAAGGTGGTGGGTGTTTTTGGTGGTTTCGGGTTAGATCTGGGTGGTTTAAGGTGGTAGATCTGGTGGTTTCGGGTTTTTGGTGGGTGGTTTAAGGTGGTTGTGGGGGTGGTGTGGGTTGGTGGTATGGGTTAGGGGGACTGGTGGGTTAAGGTGGGTGGTATGGGCTGGTGGTCCGGTTTAGGGGCAGGGGGGTAGTCAGGGGGGCAGTGTTGGTGTGGGTGGGTAGGGGGGTAGGCTGGTGGCGTTGGGTGTGGGTGTGGGTGGGGGTGGTCTGGGCAGGTGGGGTGGGGGCTGTTTTTTTTATTTACTTTTCCGACGGAATTTTCCGTCGGAATATACCGCCTCCGACATTTCGTCGAAACATCTCCCCCACCGACGGAAATT